CACGTAGCAATATCTGCCTCGTACCCAGGCGCTTACATGAAGTATTCAGGTATTCAGTTGTTTTCCCATCAGCCCCTTCGCCATCTCTCCCCACTACACGGGTAAAAATTGATCAGGTTGTTCAAACAGTAGCGAACAATGTTGTGCTGCACCCCGTGAACAATATTGTTAACAAGTTGTTCCGAGTTGTTCAATCATCAATATTGTTGCAAGTTGATAACATGATTGTCAACAAGTTGCAACAACGTTGATGGTTCAACAACATTGTTAACAATATTGTTCACGGGGTGCAGCACAACATTGTTCGCTCCTGTTGTGAACAACTTGCATCAACATGATGATTTTTACGCGTGTACAATACTTCATGTAAACACGTCATATGGGCATTACTGTTTTTTTACAAAGAGACGCCTGGGTACGAGGCAGTAGCAATATTGTTCAATTTCTTGAAAAGCCTTTACCATGTCAGACTGCTGAGTCTGGATGGATAGTCTAAGTCGAGCAGGTACAGTAGAACAACGCCAGGAAGTAAAGATGGCTTTTACAGTTTCGCTATTCTCGAATGTTGCCAATAGCTCCATGTCATGATCAGCCCTGATACAGTATGTCATTGGGTCTCATTTGCAGCCAGGTAGTCAAGTCTGTGTCTCCTTCCTTTTGAGGAAAAAACAACACAAAAATAGTTTTGGTAACAACTACACAACTTTCATTAATTAACAGCTTATGTTTTCACTAACAAGCTTACAAGCTATCCCCAGGGGTTATAGACAGAGCGAAATACTATGATGGATGGAACAAGAGACACTGGCAGATAGTTTTTGTTAGCCCATAATAACTTTATCTCAACTATAGGAAAGCTCAAAACTAAGAAGATGTATATGTACAGTGTACACTAAATTTGATTCAGGCCTTACTAAATGAATTTTATAAAATGAAAGTATAACCTCACCTCAACAAAGTTTATGATGTCCAGTTTGCTCTTAGCAGGTTGACTTTTTTATTTGAAGAGTGAATTAAATGTTCTTCATTAGGTGAAGTACTTTCTGTAGAATTACATACATAAAAAATAATATTAATTAAGTTACCGGTACATTTTTAATAAAAGCATTGTGATATTTTGAGAGCTAAAAAATGCAATTTTGATTTTTCATATCATTTATTAGCTACCGGTACAGCATAAACCAAAATGCAATTTTCATTTATTATTTTCTATTAACGACACCTAATGTCGCTGCTAAATTCAGGGATGGAAAAAATATTTTACTTTCTGGGACCGCAAGAGAACATTGAACATTTTCCGTAAATAGTCAAGTAAATGGACATTTGGACACTGTAATTGTGTGACACTAACAAGTTGTCAAACTGGATGTCATGCTATATTTCACAGGAAAAAATATTTCACTAAGAATCTTAAAATATAACATAAAACTGACATGCATCAAGGGTCTGATCCTAAGGGTAAATACAGATACCAAAAAAGCTAGGGAACTTTTAGGGGACACTATCAGGGAGATCATGCATGCTCCATTGCTCCCCCCAAAAAGTTTGTCCCAGATCAACTAAAAATGCATTTGCCATACAACATTTTTTACATCGTTCTATAGTCTAATACATTTATACACTATCGCACTATTAAGATGGTTACACTTATAATTGCATTTCTGAGGTCATGGTGTGAATTTTCCTCTGAATTTCTCTTTTTATTTGAATTATTACAATTTTTCTTTCTTGGGAAAATATTTTCTGGGAACTCAAAAATTTTCTGGGACCAATGGTCCCGTGGTCCGATACTTTTTCCACCCCTGGTGCTAATGAATCCAATGTTGGTACCGGTACTCTAATTAATAAAAAAACAAAATATCATTTAATTACCAGATCACTGTTCATGTGGTGGCTTCATAACTCCTTTTGAAATGCCATGATAGTAAATAAGTGGGTCCAATTGGTCAATCAGCTGCTGCTTTTCACAATTCCTCATGTATGCACTTTCTTCTGCTTCTTTGGATTGATTGAGGCTCCTCCGATCTTCTTCAGCAACCTGCAGACATATTGATGAGTGATAATGTAAATTTTTTGAAAATAACCGCATACCTTATTCCAAAGTTTTTATAACCATGATACTGTAGCTCATATATACCTTACTCAGTAGTCAGTGGTATAGGCTCCTCCGATCTTCTTCAACAACCTGCAGACATATTGATGAGTGATAATGTAAATTTTTTGAAAATAACCGCATACCTTATTCCAGATTTTTTATAACCATGACACTGTAGCTCATATATACCTTACTCAGTAGTCAGTGGTATAACTTTAGTTTTTTGACCATTTGTCATCAGGGCAAGTTCAACTTGCCAAGTTGGATATGAAAATTAGTTGCCATGAATAAAATTCACTTGCCATGAGACAATGGCCACTGGGGTACCCAGGTAGGGGCTATAAATTAAGGGGACAACATGTCGACACATTCTTCCACTGCTCTAGATGGCTATGTTATACTGCTTCAGACCTGGCTGTGGCCCACAGAAAAACAAAATTTGAATCCATGCACAAGTACAACATGCACTGCATAAAGAATTTATCTGGCAATGAAAACATAAACTTGATGCCCAGCTTTTTGTGACAATGATATTCACTTGCCCCAGGCAAGTGTTAAATTACAACTGTGTTACTTATTGAAAGCATAATGATATAACTTGGCATCCTTAACCAATTAACCACCATCACTCTCCCACTCACAAATAAAATTGTCTGGCATTAGGCAGGAATACAATAAAGGGTGCGATGCAACTTCATGGGTTAAAATTTGACATTTTGACTGTGGGACCATGATTTTTCGGACTCAAATTGACCATAATGACTCAAATTTTCCCATGAAAGGAAATGAGTAATTTATTTGTAATCATTATATTATGTAGGATAGAGTTTATAACATGAGAAAGAATTTTTGCAGCAAAATCCATTAGATTGGTATAAAATGTAACGGCGATGGTGTTGGTATTTGTGATTTAATATGCTATTGCCTCATATTCCAGAAAACATTCATATGGTAATGATTTAACCTCAGTTGTCCCCGAGCCGGCGGCGCGAAGCGCCGTGCGAGGGTACTAATTCCCCCCGGCTATATACACCCGGGGAAACGAAAGCATTAGGGAAGTCTAAAGTTCATCAATGAGCGCGGGCGTCGGTCACCAACGATGGGTGGTCATCCTCACTGATCTCAAAAATATGGCGGACTGTCATGAATAGCGGACACTGATTGGTCCAATTTAAAGTTTGCATTATAACGACTGCATGACGACAGCGAAATAGCAAACATTTCTTGATTTGATGAGTTGATGATTGATAAATTTGTCAAATTTCTTGCAAATATTCTTCATTTTTGCTCATATTTCTGCAAGATTTTGTAAATTTCAAGAAAGAAAGGGCCAAAGGATCAGCTAAAAGAAGGGAGCCGACGTTAACGAAGGTAAGTTTGTTTTAAATATTGATTTTATAATGGCTTTAAAACCCGACGGCTTTTCCGTATATCAAACAACTAAACAAGACATACAAGACAGCATATAATTTCAGTGTATCTTTAATATTGATTCCCTTTTTTATTATATTGAATTTTTTAAATAAAAAATAAAGCAAAGTTATTTGCAAGCGAGAATTTGAAATCATTTTATTGCAAACTCAAAGTTTATCGATAATAGTTAAAGGCAGTTTAGTTTTATAAAGAACACTTTAAAACGTTTTGTGAATTGTTTGTTGTTGAATTTTACCTTAAATTGAAGCTTGTATTACGTATAATTACATACCTAACATATATATGTTGAGAAATTGATAATTTTGTAATTAAAAGTGATATTTTTAGGCGATTTTCATTTGTAAGAATATTCTTAAAAAATTATCGTGTTACCATAACAACTACTTTAGATACTTCATGTTCGGAAAATACAACGGTTTTGTCAGCAAGGCGAGGGTTTCTGCATGCATGTATTTTCTAGTATGTGAGATAAGTGCTACTTGTTTCAGTAACCCGTTGAGTGATGGCACTGACAGGTAAAATCATCTGACATTATACGGAGTAAAACAATAAAGTTGTGGCACAATGCAGCTTATGCAATGTACGGCCTAGTGTAATATCCCGTTAACACCCCATCTCATCTAGCTTGCAATATGAACTCTATCGACTGTTTACGGTAAAGTGAATTATACTACTTCTTTCTGGCCTAGGCAGGATCCCATTATTTGTTGCCGGGATTGCATCTGCCAGGACGAGAAATTCTTATACAAGCACTCTATCATCCCTGCCAGGCGGAGACGCGGGGTGTATTCCGTCTATATATTAAACACACCATCCTGGATTAAAACCTCCTGTCCAGCCATGCCATTATCACATAAACAGGCACAATATATCACACACATATATGCAGGGTTAGACATGAGTGAAGACACTGGCGTTATACAGGTGAAAAAAAGTAGGGCGCACTGGGGCACATTCCCGCTCAATGCCAATGGGTTAAATATTAATTTAAAGTCAACCATTTACATGCTATAAACCAAGAAATATGCACTGAACTGATAAGCTAATATTATAATCAATTCTATATATTGAGTTAACAATTTTATGATTCAGATAGATAACATTGTAATTGTAAGTTTAATACCCTCAAATAATTTTCATGTTTTGGCTAATAATAGGCTTGAAGCAATCAGCAAGTAAATATTATTCATATTCACATATTGTTTTATGATATACTATGTGGGTTCAAACATGCTTTCTCCAGTTTTGTCAACCAAGTGGCAAGTGTAACCCAGTATTTACTATGTGTTTATTCAAAATTTGAATTGTTGATTTTAACTAATATTTGACCGAATTGAAATGAAATAATTCAATATATAAAACCTCTCGCGCGCAAATTCAAATTTAGCAATAGCAGACAGCCACAACAGGCTATAACAGCCACAAGATAAAATGAGTAAATACGGTCGATGTACGTTATAATTATACGATATAAACAGTAATATTTCATACCTGAGATCAATAAGCCTTCGGCAGGATTCGGAGTCACTTATCCAGAACCAAATATGATAAAAAACACGATATTCTTGAGCGAAAGTCGAAAATTTGTAAATCACACTTGATACTTGATATACGATATCCCACAACTCATTGCGCGCGTGGCCCTTGTCTTCTAAAATACATACACCAAAAAGCGCTCCCAATCTATCGCTAGCTTGAAACTATAGGAAGCATTTATAATCTGGCCAAAAAAATGGTTATAAAAAAATGATAAAAATTCTTATAAGCGAATAATGAGACATATTTTCTAAAAAAATTATATGCCAATTGCAATAATATAAAATTTTTATCGTTTAACGTATCGCATGTCATAACATTTGACAGCATTAACCGTGATGTCATAACATGTCGGTGATATTTACGCAAAATCTTGGGTAAATTTACACTTCATTTTTTGCGGTGGATCACTCAGGCAGCGTAGATAGACTTACTTGAACCGTCCTGACCGCGTAGCTCAGTTGGAAGAGCATTGGGCTAGTATTCCAAAGGTCGTAGGTTCGAATCCCACCGTGGCCGGGCATATTTTTCAAGCTCGCCCGGTGTGGATATACACTCAGAGTAACACCACAAATATCATATTCACCTGAGTACACTACACCAACACAGAAAAAAAAAATTCATATATAATTGTTATTTTTCAATAGCAGCAATTCATTGGGCATATTCAAATTCATTGTGATATCCGCCATGTTGAAACTGCGACAATTCAGGACAGATCCGTTCAGCTTCAAATTTGACAAAAAAGTGAAAGATATACAATATTACAATTAGGTTTATTCAATTCAATATCATATCTCGTTTTAGCCATGCAAAAGTTGCCAAAAGAAAGGTTTTGATATATGCGATAAATAATATTAAACTTTATTTCAAGATTGTTTTTCTAATTATAAGAATATTATTCTAGGATGGAAAAATGTTATTCTTAAAATAAGAAAAAAATTCTCTCGAATATTCTTGCCCGGTTATATTTTCTTATTTTAAGATTTTTGTTCTTAAAACTAGATTTTTTTTCTTGAAATATTTCTTGATAAGAAATATTTACTTAAAATAAGATCCGTCCAACCCCCCCATAAAATTTATTAAATGTGCGCCCCTGCCGGTTTCCTAAACATCTTGAGTGTCCAGTTCCAGTGCAGGACTATTTAAGGTGCAATGCTAACCAACTTGTGCATAATAAATGAGATTTGTAATTGTGCAGTTAATATTTTCTGCGGCAACAATTTCTGTTAATTAATAATATTAAAAATATATAGCCATTGTTACCGTTTCGCATTACAGAATATGTTCACGTATATCAGTTATCAATCAGCCGAATACACAAATCACGACCGATGACAAGTTACAGCGGCCTTATAGCCTATTGATCGGATTCAGTGGCGAAGACAATACACTGATATGAAGATTTTAATTAAACAGGTCCTTAATATAGGATTCACGAGATTGTTGAAAGATCTAATTATATCTGAAAAATATAATTTGAGTACGTGACCACTGAGTAGGTGAACAAGGCGGGAACAATGCTATACTTAATACAATGCTTAACACGCGAAGTTCTAACTCTCGTTTGGGGGGGGCGGGGTTGGGACATCACCCAATGTTGTAATATTGAAGTTTTGTCGGGCAAGTTTAAGAATTTTACATAATTTATCGAAAAGTAATAGTTGTAGGGAAAATTTCTTCCTCCCCCCCCCTCTCGCCAACTGTTATGATGGTTCTGACGAACCGAAATTGCACAATTCCTTGTAAGTCATATGCGAATAAGACTCGCTACCAATTACCGTTGTCAATGCAAGGGTGGCGCCAGAAGGGGGGGGGGGAGGACTATGTTTTGTAAGCAGTATGTTTTGTAGTGGTGTTAAACAGACTGTTGAAGACAATTGTATCCTCAAAATGAGGCAAATATCGTCAACAAATACCATTGGAAATACCGAAAATTCAAAACATTTTTGGAGGGAGCATTCTCCCCCCCCCTCTCCCCCTCCGAGAAAGGTTTTGCCTGTACGAACGTAGCCCCCTGTCGTGGACCTTTTCCCGCCACGACTAGTTCAATGGGTGGAGCGGCGACCGGCGGTCCAGAAACCTAAAGATGTCCACTCGAAACAACGAATTTTTCGTTGTTCTCTGCAGTGAATAATATGAAACTAGTTTTTCATATCTCTCAGGATGATTCCAGGGTTTATTTTAACGTGCAGTTCTACACAAAATGTTCTGTTTTAAACCCATTTGCGCAGTTCTTAAAACACAAATGTGCAGTCACCAAACTAACAAAAATAGCCTTAATTAAAACAGTCCTCACATTTACTCGTTACCCCTAGTGGATGCTCCAGAAAATTCCAGAAATGCTGTCATTAAACGAGCACCAATTACAAACTAATATAAACGTTTTCTGGGGGAGGACTCCAGACCCTCCTATTTTCCTCACAAATCACTTACGTGCTCGGGTAATGGAAAATAACCTAAAATTGGGGCAAGCGAACACCCCCTAGCTCCCGCACCCAAAATCGAGTTTGTCTGGCCTTTCTCCAATTCTCCCACCCAACCACACCATTATTCTGTCACCTATATGCAGGTAAAAATCCTTCGCCCCCCTCCCAGTCAAACACCTGTTGCCTTCGTAACATCCCTATATATGTGCAGTTCTAAATTTTTCTTAAAATAAACCCTGGATGATTCTGAAATACTAACGAATGTGTACATCAAGCATTGAGTTCCAGGTAGCGATGAACAATATATTATGTACGAGCCTAATAGAAGGATTTAAATTACTGAGAAAAAACCTTGCTCTTGCTCATGGAAGTTCATAAAGCCTTCGAAAATCCTTTCAAAATTCATCTTCTGCATTTTCTCCTACAGCTTCTTGAAGAGAATATCTTGATTTTTTTAGACGATCCCTGCGCGAAAAACGTATGTGACCATTCTTGTGAAGTGGTCAGAAATAGAAATGGAACTTCAACTGGAAAATGTCGTTGTCGAAGTGGTTATTATTTACGAACTGATGGCAAAACATGTGTTGGTTAGTAGAGAAAGCATTTTATAAAATAGCCTTTTAAAAACACGGGCGCTGATTGGTCAAAAGCTCAAAAAAAAGTGTTTCTATTTAACAATTAGTCGCCGAAGGCGAGGTGGTTATCGGTGAATAAAAACCGAGACGAAGTCGAGGTTTTTATTCACGATAATCACCGAGCCTGAGGTGAATAATTGTTTTAGTACAATTTCATGGGTGATTATTTGGAAAAAAAGATTAAAAATGCACATTTCTTCGTCTTTTAATTGACAAAACGACTTCGGCCGCCATTTTGAAAATCGCTTAGGTGATTATCGCGTAATAATCACCTCAACGGTAACCAATCAGTGTGGAGAATTTTCAATAATCACCTATGTAATTATACTAATTAACAATTTGTCGCCGAAGGCGAGGTGATTACAAGCCTATATTCACTGAGCCGAAGGCGAAGTGAATATAGGCTTGTAATCACCGAGCCTGAGGCGACTAATTGTTTTAGTATAAATTTCCAGGTGTTTACAAACAATAATCCACACAACTTTATAAAAATTCACTTCAAATAAATTTATTTTCGCTATATAAAATAGTTTGTTTACAAAATTTAAATCTCAGACACGGCTCTGTGTCGCGTTGCGACTAAGCCAGTTTTTTTCCAAATAAAAGCACGTAAAGTTTAATATTTTACCTTGAAATATTTTTAAACCATATTTTGTAGCTTGTTTGAGCTTTTTCGGAATGCTATCTTCTTTAATTTTGGCAATTTCCTCCTCTGTTACTACGGCAAAACGAGCAGCCATTTTGAAAAAAAAAGCTATAGTCACTGACCAGTGACTATCACTTCAGACTTCAGAGACAGTGAATCTTGACCAATCAGAATGCAGAAAAATCAATAGTCACCTGGAAATTTATACTAAAACTCGATAGAAACACGGGGAATTTTCGCGCGGGTTGCGTGGATTGCGCGGGAGTTTAAAAGACAAAATACAAACAATATTTAATATTGAAAAAAGTTGGAAAACGTCCAAAAACGCCGAAGAACCGTGAAAAAAGGCAAGTTGAACGCTTTGCTAATTTAGGAAGCGAACACCTAAAGCACAAAGCACAGTCAAAGTTACAGCATACCTTGTATCTGTTTGACTGTTTTCCAAGCTAAGATATTTTAATTTTACTTTGTCTTTTTAAAAAATTATTTCCTCGCGACGTTTTTAATCATGTTTACTATCGTTTTTAATCGTTTTTAATCATGTTTAAACGTTTACTAACTATGTAAAACAGTGCTTTCTTTGCAAGAATGTAGGCCTACGTTGTTGAGTGAACTATATACCGCTTTAATTAATAACTGAGTAAGCCTGTTAAAAAGTCTTAAAGTAAGCCTGTTAAATTCTTGTCAGACTTCTATGTTTATAAACAGTCGCATGGTTACCATCGGAAAATATCGCGATGTTCAGGTATGTTCCGGGAAGATGTCGCGATATTCCGGCATATTCCGTGATATTCCGCCATATTCCATGATATTCCGTAATATTCCGGTATTCCGGGTTTCACAACGCCCTGTTAAAAAGTGCTGTTTGTTGTTTTGACAGTGATATACTTGTTTACTTGGCTATGGCTATGCTTTAATTCTTATTTACACGAACGTATATTGAGATATAATTAATATTTGAATGAATGTAATTAAAATCAATAAATTTATATTTTTATTGTTTTTAAAAGGCTATTTAATAAAAGAAATAGAAACCATTTTTTCCGTGTTCCTATAGAGTTATAGAAACACTTGTGAAAGTTTGGGAGAAACTCGAAATTGCGTGGAAACACTCGCACTTCGTTTCTCCCAAACTTCCACGCGTGTTTCTATATTAAACTCAAAAGAAACACGGAAAATGTTTTCTATTTCTTAAATAATTTGTAACTTGTTCGTTATATATGTTCGTTTACATTATATTAACTTATTATATAACATGCAAATGCATGTACTTTAATATACTAAAAAAATATCACAACCAAAGTATTCTTAAGCCCCGTTTACACTACGCTCAATTTTTGGTACGGCACGGATAAAATTGGTACCCGTACCACTTTTTTGGTTCTTGGACTACCTATTTAGGATTCACTTACGTGCTCGGGTAATGGAAAATAAGCTAAAATTGGGGCAAGCGAACACCCACTAGCTCCCGCACCCAAAATCGAGTTTGTCTGGCCTTTCTCCAATTGTCCCACCCAACCACACCATTATTCTGTCACCTATATGCAAGTAAAAATCCTTCGCCCCCCTCCTAGTCAAACACCTGTTGCCTTCGTAACATCCCTATATATGTGCAGTTCTAAATTTTTCTTAAAATAAAACCTGGATGACTCTGAAATACTAACGAATGTGTACATCAAGCATTGAGTTCCAGGTAGCGATGAACAATATATTATGTACGAGCCTAATAGAAGGATTTAAATTACTGAGAAAAAACCTTGCTCTTGCAAGTTCATAAAGCCTTCGAAAATCCTTTCAAAATTCATCTTCTGCATTTTCTCCTACATCTTCTTGAAGAGAATATCTTGATTTTTTTAGACGATCCCTGCGCGAAAAACGTATGTGACCATTCTTGTGAAGTGATCAGAAATAGAAATGGAACTTCAACTGGAAAATGTCGTTGTCGAAGTGGTTATTATTTACGAACTGATGGCAAAACATGTGTTGGTTAGTAGAGAAAGCATTTTATAAAATAGCCTTTTAAAAACACGGGCGCTGATTGGTCAAAAGCTAAAAAAAAAGTGTTTCTATTTAACAATTAGTCGCCGAAGGCGAGGTGATTACAAGCCTATATTCACTGAGCCGAAGGCGAAGTGAATATATAGGCTTGTAATCACCCACAGGCGGCCCAATTTCGCAAGGGTCAGTATAGACTTATAGTATAAATGTATATTATATTAATGTATATTATAGTAAAAATATGTCGTAAAATGTAAATTTTAAAATGAAATTGACTTGCCTATTTGATAGTGTGTGTTCTCCTTTTATTCCTCCTTTGTTGGACTAATATTTTCCGAGACTTTGTACTCGATGTTACTAGTATACATGAAACATGATAAAGGCTAACGATTCCCGATCGTCGATACGACGGCACGGCACTTCGAATCGAAAATTCTCACACTCAAATCGCTTTATTCTCAAAAAAAATTCGCGAGCATGTACAACAAATGCCGTTCTTTGAAAATACAGAGGTATTTCGGCGAGATGTACAAGTTTTGGACCATATTTTAACAATGGAAATCAAAACCCATTTTATATTGAACTTACCCGGACCGAAAATTACTACGGCGAACGTCTGCGCAACCAGGCCTCCTTTACCGTTGGATTTACAGGGGGGGGGGAAGCAGATATTTCCGGTAACAGCCAGCCAATCGCGGCCGCGATAGCTACTGTTTACATTATTTGAAATTTGATATTCAAAATAAAAGCTCCTACGATCGGATACCGTATAGAACTCGAGATGTTGTCGAAGAAAAGAAAACTAAACGACGGAGATTGAAGAAATTTAAGGAAGAATAAATATACAGCGGCTCTTTGTTGGAAAGCATGGTAGAATATGATACTTTAATTCGAAATATTATCGTTAATATATTAGTGTCATCCTCCCCCCTGTAAATCCAACGGTAAAGGAGGCCTGGTTGCGCAGACGTTCGCCGTAGTAATTTTCGGTCCGGGTAAGTTCAATATAAAATGGGTTTTGATTTCCATTGTTAAAATATGGTCCAAAACTTGTACATCTCGCCGAAGTACCTCTGTATTTTCGAAGAACGGCATTTGTTGTACATGCTGGCGAATTTTTTTTGAGAATAAAGCGATTTGAGTGTGAGAATTTTCGATTCGAAGTGCCGTGCCGTCGTATCGACGATCGGGAATCGTTAGCCTTTATCATGTTTCATGTATACTAGTAACATCGAGTACAAAGTCTCGGAAAATATTAGTCCAAGAAAGGAGGAATAAAGGGAGAACACACACTATCAAATAGGCAAGTCAATTTCATTTTAAAATTTATATTTTACAACATATTTTTACTATAATATACATTAATAATAATAATAATAATAATGGAAACTTTATTACTTTCAATAATATATAATATACACACTACAATGATAAACATCTCTTTACAGGTAGTTTACCAGTGTCTACTTGAATTAACACTCTACATAATAACAATATTAGTATGACATTAGTTGTGGGTTATCCCATTCTTTGTTACGCTTACAGAATATATAATACGAGGACCTGATACATTGTTAATAATTTTCCGAACATAGTACTTTCTACATTGTTCATCAAACTTTAGATCCTTCAGCATTTCGGTGAAATCTAGCGACGGGTGGCTGAAAACTCCTAATGAGCTAATCGATAAATTTACAAATTTCACTTTTTCATAATTTTTGAGCTGTTCGTTAATTAGATCTTGATATTTTTGTCTTTTTCGAGTTGCATTAGTGAGGAGATTAGATTCAAATCCGACGGTAAGTTCAAGTATATAAATACATTTGTTTTCAAGAGTTATCAAAAGATCAGGGCGCAATTCATCTTCGGTGATAACAGATGGACTGATATAGCCAGGAAGGTCAGCATAAAGGTTACAATGGTTCACAGATTTAAGTATGGATGCTATGAAGTTAAGCACCGAATCATGACGCCACGTGAAACGTCCTTCATTTAGATAGGTCTTGCATCCAGCGACGACGTGAATAATAATAATAATAATAAATAAAGGTTACAATGGTTCACAGATTTAAGTATGGATGCTATGAAGTTAAGCACCGAATCATGACGCCACGTGAAACGTCCTTCATTTAGATAGGTCTTGCATCCAGCGACGACGTAAAATAATAATAATAATAATAATAATAATAATAATGGAAACTTTATTAAATGTTTTTCTTTACATACATATACAATCGTAAATCTCTCTCATAAAGGTAACTTACGGTTGGCTATTTGAATCATTATTATACTAAAATAACAGAACAAAGTGCGTGCAATATATATATATATACAATGAGATAAGTCAAATTGTTAGTAAATCCGGATTTTCCCATTCCTTATTTCGGCAACAAAAAATGTAATATGTAGTTCTAATAGCAATAGTCATCATAGTTTCCTAACGCAGTACATTTGGTGGTTTTTGTCAAGACCAATACTATCTAACATGTCTAAAAATGTATAACATTCTTCTGCAAAAATACCTAAAGAGCTGATGGAGAGATTTATAAATTTAACTTGGTTAAAATTTTTACCTAGCTGTCTCAATAATTCTCTATATTTATCCTTCTTCCGTTTTACGTTGTTTTTTAGGTTTGTCTCATAACCAGTGGTGAGTTCAACCACATATAAGGAACCATTTGAGCACGATAATAACAAATCTGGGCGATACGTATCACCAGTAAGTATTGAAGGGCTTTTGAATCCATTTAGGTCGGCGTAGAGAGTAGAACCGTCAACAGTTTGTAACTGATGAGCAAGAAAGTTCAGGACTGAATTGTGTCTCCACGTAAATCGGTTGAGATAAAACTGACATCCAGCTACTATGTGTAGTAATGTTTCAGGGCTAAGACAAAAAGAACAGTCTGAATTTGAAGATATTGCCCATCTGTTTAGGTTTTTGCGCGTCGGAAGAGAGTTGTTAGTGTAACGAATGGTAAAGTTGTAAATGTTTTTCGGGAGCTTTGATTGGGCGACGGACCACACCTTGCTAAGCTGAGGTAAAGCGAACTTCGTGACGCTGCAGAAAAAGGATCCTTGACTGGTTAATTGGTTTAGGAGTTTGTTTTCGTGTCCAGAACGGAAATCTTTGAGAACTTCCTTAGTAGAGTTATAAGCGTCATATTGGATATTAGTATGGTTACTGGTTGCTCTCCACAGGTCGTTAGTTGATTCATTAGGAGATGATTTTAAAGCTTTTCGGAGGACTGTTTGACACTGGATAAATTTTACAGATGGAGGATAAATACTCAGGCCAAATTTGTTATTTGTTAGAAAGACAGTACTTAGTGTTCCTGATATTGGTACTTCAAGCCATCTGCGGATATATTTGTTGGCAATAGAGTCGATATTTTCAGTAACCCATGTTTTAGAGAGTGTTGCGACGGTGAAGTGCCAGGCTAACTTGGACAAGACGTAGCGACTGTAGAGGAGCAGTTTATTTTTGGGGTGTAGTGGCTTTGAGTCAATATCAGACATTAGTTCATTAAGTAGGGTGGTTAGTTCAGTTTTGTGATTATCATTCGACATGTGGAAATCAAAGTAACGTCCTAAATATTGAAATGATTCTCCAATGGTGATTTTTGGTATTAGTTGATTGCTGATGAGGAGTTTTGGCAAGTACTGAACTGATTTTGTGATCGCTTTTTTAATGCCAAAGGTACTGCATTTGTCAACTCGGATAATCATATCGGACCATTGGCACCAGATAGAAAATCGATTTAATAGATGTTAGTTTTCGGATTCTTGGCCAGTAATTACAGCTGCGTCATCAGCAAACTGGAACCAATGGATGGGATTTAGTAATTTGAAGGAAAACCCAAATTGACGGTACTTTTCAGCCTTGATATGCTGAATGAATGTATTGAAGCACATGTTAAAAAGAAGAGGACTGAGGCAATCTCCTTGCAATACGCCACGGCCAATTGTCATAAAAGGAGTGCGGAATTCAGAGGTAATTATCGAGGTATGGAAATCAGTATATAAACTTTTTATAACAAATTTTATATGATCAGGGATATGGTGGTAGTCAAGTACGGATTGAATGAGGTTGTGATGGATTTCGCCGAAGGCATTCTTAAGATCAAGTAGGGTGATGACAACAGAGCGTTGTCTGATCCGAGCTTTATTAATAATGTCAGCCATTTGCGCAGTATGTTCTAGAGTGCCAGATAGGTTGGGGGGTGAAGCCTTTTTGTATGTTGTGTTCGACGAAGTTATTAGATGCGAGGAAGGAGTATACTGCGTTTCGGAGACAAGATGTAAATACTTTTAAAGGTATGGATTCGAGTGTTATGGGTGATTTGGAGATTTAATTTTATCCATATATTGTTTACATAGTTTTTCACGTCTTGCCTGTAATTTCTCCAAGTTGAACATTCGTAAAAGTTCGTCATAGCACTCTTCTCCAGGTTTAATAATTTTTAGAGCTCTTCTCTGGACCGACTCTATTTTGTGTGAGAGATACTCAGGTATAGCTTGCCAGACTGGTACCGCATATTTTAGTATTGGACTTATAATCGCAGAATAAACCTTCAACATCTTGTTTGTTTCAACACCAGCTTTACGCAGTATACGCAGAGAGTATAATCTTTTACATGCTTTTCCATATATATAGGCAACATGGTCTTTCCATTTTAGATCATCCGTTAAATAACTCCAAGAAGTTTGTATTTCTTTATCGTTTCGATAGTGGTATTACTTATGGTTATAGGTCTTAATACCGTAGTATTGTACTCTAAAGGATCTATTACCATCTCCTTGCATTTTTTAGGGTTAAGTTTCACATGATTGTTTTCAGCAAAATCATTAATGTTGTCCGCTACTATGTTGGTCAGGCTCATCGAGTTCCTTGGAATCATTTCTAGAGCTGTAGTATCATCCACAAATTTTGTTCTTAGTCTCCATTCGGTAAGGAGCTCGTTTGTCATCACAGAGAACAATATTACACCCAGTTTTGTTTCCTGCGGGATTCCGCCATTCGGACGTTTCCAGTCGGACAGTACTCCGGCAATTCGAACTGCTTGCATTCTGTTTGACAGGAAGGCTGACACCCAGTTAGTACGAGCAGGATGTATATTAAGTTTTTGAAGGTTCGCTATAAGTATATTGTGGTCTATGCGATCAAATCCTTTGGAGAAATCTGTAAAGAAAATTCGGGCTGTATTGTTTCCTTTGTCAATTGCTTCGTAAATGGGTTGAAGGAAGCTTATTAATGCATCCGATGTTGATAGGCCTTTACAGAAAAACTGGTATTTATCAATCTTTCCTTCTAACTGTGGTAGGAAACGTCTACAAAACAGACCTTCCATCACTTTTGCTAGAGTGCACGAAAGTGATATCGGGCGCAGGTCTTTTTCAATAGTTTGCGGAGGGTTTTCTTTTGGTATGGGAGAAATAATAGAGCATCTTAATAATTGGGGAACATAGCCTTCAGTCTAGGACTGATTATAAATGTCTTGTATAACTGTGGCTAATTCCGGAGCAAACTCCTTTAGCACCTTGTTTGGTAAGTTGTCTCGACCTACTGACTTGGAAAGTTTGATACTTTTTAATGAAAATTGAACCTCTTGTACAGTAGCCAGAAGTTCCACAGGGACATGAATTTTTTCGTTTTGCTGTGTAGTGGTGAAAAGTTCTCCGTAACACTCAAGAACATATCGTTGATTTTGTTTGCTAATGTTTTCACATCTATGTTATCCTTTAAAAATTGATGATACCACTCTTGTTTAATTAATGTCCTGTCCAGTAAGGGATTTAAGCTTTTTCCACCATTTGCTACTATTACACTGATCTAGGTTTGTTATCTTGTGTTCATAATGAACAGCTTTAGCGGTTTTTATTTTTTGCTGGACTTTGTTCCTCCATTCTTGTACGGCCTAGAATTTTTACCATATTTGATAAATGCATTTTGTCTCTTTTTAATCATGAATTTAAGTTCTTTCGTCATCCAAGGTCGCTCATTCTGATGGATTGTGACTGTTTTCTCTGGTAAGTAAATATCTAGTGCTTTTTTTAACTCAGAAAGGAAGAGTTGAAATTTGTCTTCGCAGGAGGTTTTTTCCATTACAGGGGTCCGTCTTTTGTTGTCATCCAGCGACCAAATGCACGCCAGTTACTGTCTCTCATGTCTCGTGTTTTGACTTTCTTGGTTTCTATATTATTCTTATTTGGACCCGTAGGTTTTGCTAGGATTGCAAAATGGTCTGATGACGCAATTTTAGGGAGTTGATGCATAGTGAAAAGCTTTGGTCGATTTGTTAAAAACCAGTCAAGGATATTTGATTCTCTTGTGTTAAAAGTAACTAATTGTTTAAGATGGTTGGGTAATGTTAGGTATGTCTGTTTTAATCCTGTTGAATTTGGATTGAAATCTCCAGTTATTACAACTAGGGCGTTTGGATATTTCCTTAGTAGGTTATCCAGGTTACGTTGAATATGATCCTTTAGTATTAAGTTCTCAGGTTCGCGATTGGATGTTGTGTGGTATATCACGACAGCAACGATACACGTAATATTTCTAGGTAATTTATGTGGTCTCAGCAGCATCCACAGGGCTTCGACTTCATCTTCGATACCCTCTTCAAGTTGTTTACAGGGAATACTATTATGAATGTACATGCACACCCCACCTCCAACGGTATGGGTTCTGTCTTTTCGAAAGAGGTTATAACCTGGCATCGCAATAATATGGTCAGGAATTTGCATTGTAAGCCACGTTTCTGTTATACATACTACCTTAGCATTGTTTAGTACGGTAATCTCTTGTAATTCATCTAATTTATTATCTAGTTTCCTAACATTCGTAGATATGAAGGCGGGTATGTCATACTGTTTTTGGAAATGGACTTTCTTTAATACATTGTGATTGACATGTTTAATATTTTGATCTGGCGGGGTTATTGCCACAGACTGATCATAACATCGGCTCCTTATCGTGTTGATGGACGAATGTGGGGTTTTGGTGCTAGAGACAAAAGTGGTGGTATAAGTGGTAAAGGATACGGGTACGGTAACGGTTGGAAAATTGGGTGTTGGATCGTGGGAAAATAGTTTGGATTGAAGGGAAAAGGAAGTTGGTAACAATCGGTTTGTGGAATATTAAAAGAGGGAGCTCTTTGAATAGGGTTTTGTCGGAATTTCGGCTCACATATTGTAGGTAGGACATAATTATGAGAAAAATCGCATCTAGAGCCCTTCAGGCAGTGGCCATTTCTTTTCAAAAAAGGGCATTGCACTGATGCTTTTGTCCTTTTTCCATGTTGATATCGATTGGAATTTCGATTTGACATAGATTGAGATTGATATTGAGCGTGGACCTGGTGATATCCCCTCTTATCTGTTAAAAGCCCTGACATGCGTACAGAAAATTTTCTTGCGGCTTTTTCTTTGGGTTGGATATTTTGTGTCGCAACTGGTAGGGGATATACTTCAATTCTTGTACTCAGTTGAAAGATTAGATTCATTCCAAGCCTTGGTAAATTAATAAATTGTTCTCCGTTTTCTCCGTCAATTTCGAGGGATATTTCTTCGCATTATATGTCTCATTTCCATATAGTGTTTGCATATCATAGTTGCCGCCATAACTTGAATCGAATGCCTCGTTACGTCACAGTAGATTTTGATTTTGCAATTTGCATCAGTGGACCGATGCGAGCGCCCGCAATCTGCATGTGATGCATCGCTCATCGAACAAATCTACCGTGATGTAGGGCTCTGAAACAATAGATTTGATGTCGCAGTAGATTTCGCGCGGAAAAGGACACGGCACCGATGCATTCACTGATGGAAAATGACTGAAAATCGATGCAAACCAAATCTACCGTGACGTAGGTGATGCATCAGCTTTCTACTCATTCTCGTACCCAGAGCCCTTCTTACGCGTGTTGCGACGAGGGGCTCTGGCCAAATCCATATTCCGAACTGGCATCCGATTGGCTAGTTCTAACACCGGATATTGTTTTCTTACCGTGTTTTTACGGTGTCCGGTTATGGATTTGGCCAGAGCCCCTCGTCGCACCGCGCGTAAGAAGGGCTCTGGGTACGAGAATGCTTTCTACTGTGACGTCAAATGATGCGGTAAAAATTAACATATTTTGTCGCGAAATTATTGATGCTTAAGTGTCGCAAAATAAAAAGTATATGACAGAAAGTACACATTTGCGATCGCACGTCGCATATTGGACTTATTTTGACAACTTCGACTATTATTGAGACTATTTAAATCGGATTTCATCCTAAATAGTGTATTCCTGATATGGAGTCAAGTTTAAGCAAATATTTGCGGTTTGGTAGCTGGAGAGATTCAAATATATTCTATTACTGAGTGCTTGACTAGTAACGACAGCATAATATGTCTATATATAATTTCAAGCAACATGATTTCTCACTTTTGAACTATTCATTCGCATCGTTGGCATCGGTCTGGATCCGCCCCTGCTGTCAAACGAAGAGGACAAGAAAGCAATACTAGATGGAGAGTTTACATTCGTATTTTGTAATCCCGAGTCTATTATTCGAAATGCGAAATGGAGAGAAATGGTTTCATTTGGAATCTACAAGACAAATTTGCTTGCTTTTGTATAATTAACAGACAAAATTCACGTCGGCCCAAAGAGGTGTGTTTAATAAATTTAAATACGGATTTTTTGAATTATATTGCAGGATTAAATTGAATGTATATTGCAAGATTAAAGTAAAGGAATATAAATATATATTTATATTAAATTGAATAGATGTGATGTTTTAAATTGAATGAAATTCAGGAGACTGAATATTGCTACAAGAAGGGGCAATTGATAAAACTAGAATAGTGAAGCGAATAGTGCGAATAGTCGACGAATAGTACGAATAGTCCGCGAATAGTCGACGAATAGTACGAATAGTGCGAATAGTCGACGAATAGTACGAATAGTCCGCGAATAGTCGACGAATAGTACGAATAGTCCGCGAATAGGCGACGAATAGTACGAATAGTCGACGAATAGTGCAATAGAGACTTTGCAAGGCTTTGCAGCAGTGCTGTAGAACTAAATTTACCGGGAGGGGGGGGAGGGGGGCTCTATTGACAAACATGAAATTGTGAAAACATTCGTTGACGTACGTCATGACGTCATACGTAACCGGTAAAAATTACGGGAACCACTGAGTATTTTAATAAAATATAAAACAACGGTAACTTCGATACTAAACATTTTAATATTCTAGCTTTCGGCTAAAATTCAGTCATCGTCATTCATATTTTTTTATTGATCATCATTCCTGATGGCAACCGTATGAGTCATGAATTTTACTGATGGAATTTTATAGGAATTTTACTTGTAAGTTGTGACGTTGTAACTGAAGATTTAAGGGCTTAAGTGATTTCGTGTGCTTGGAAAACGTGATTTACATCACGAAACAAGAGAAGGTATCGATTTATTATTTATTAAGCCCGTTTTTGGGCGAATTTGTTCGCGCGAAAGCGAAAACCAAATTTCGGCAATGTGATTGGTTCGCCGCGAAAAAGTTGGATCAGCAGGGCCGTGCCAACTGGGGGGTGTGGGGGGCCAACATTCTCCGAAAAAATTTTTGCTTTCCGGAAAAAGTTTTTTTTTGGGGGGGGCCTGGAATGGAAAGGGGTCCAAAGTTAGGAAATACCCCCCCCCCATGCAAACAGAAACCGGTTGGCACGGCCCTGTGGAACAGTTCCTACTCTTTTACTTGTCGCTTCGCGCGAACAAATTCGCCCAGTGGAAAACGTCATTCTAGTGATTGTCATTCTACTTCCTGTTAAATATTTGTTAAAACTCAGTGGTCCCGTAATTTTTACCGATTACGTATGACGTCATTGACATCAACGAATGTTTTCACGAATTCATGTTTGTCAATAGAGCCCCCCCCCCCAGCTCCGCTTCGGTAAATTGAGTTCTACAGCACGGTGCAAAGCCTTGCAAACTCTCTATTGCACTATTCGCGGACTATTCCTACTATTCGTTGACTATTGGTACTATTCGTCGACTATTCGCGGACTATTCGTCGACTATTCGCGGACTATTCGCACTATTCGTTGACTATTCGCGGACTATTCGTACTATTCGTCGACTATTCGCACTATTCTCACTATTCGCTTCACTATTCTAGTTTTATCAATTGCCTACAAATGGGCAGGCATACACTGGACAGTATACATGCGATATTTTTAAATAAAACCCTGTCTAGACGGCCAGGCGTCAAGGATAATGATTGGATAATATTTTTAGAATATGATGCATTAAGCCATTATACATTTTGTGCATTCTTTATCTGAACCAGGAATCGCTAACAAATTCACCAGAGGTTTTTCCTTTTTCTTCGCGCGTTTTCTCGCATTTCGCGTTCGCAAAACCTAAAAAAAACTCTGGGCCAGGGTAGCGCTAGTGTGACCGCCGCATAAAAGCTCACACATGCAAAATAACGTCCCTACAGTATATATTTCGAAAATTCATCATTGTATAGTTAAAAGTACTAATCTTTCAAATATTTTTGCCATTTTGCACAAAAAATTCAATAACGCAAGCGTGTGTTCAGTGTTCAATTGAAGTTCAGTGGCAGAGACTTTGGTTGCCTGAAAAAGAATGTTGACGTTTCTTACTGACCGACCGTCAACCAACTGACTGACTGTTTGGCGGCTGACAGCAGACCTGGAAAAAGTGCGATCTCAGAATCTTGAGGAATTTTTATCTTAGCAAGAAGATTGAGAAAAAGTTCCAATTTTTTACACATACGGTATGGGAAAACCTTAAGGAATCATTATATCATACTTCCTGATCTGTCGTTTAAGACATTCAACATAACTACAGTTTGTTGTTGCATACATAATGACGTAATGTACAGTCAAATTTTCCACTGATGGATTTTACACATTTTTGAGGAACATTTGAAAAAGGCAATTTCGAGATCAGAGGAACATTAGACACTTTCTTCTTACTGACTGACTGACTGACTGACTGACTGGTGGGATTTCTCAACATACCTTCTTTAATACCATAGACTTCGACTTCGCACAACGTTAGTAGTTTCTTTACTCCTGGAATAACTATCGTCACATAACGACCAACTACCGTCGGCACACACGAGACAATACCTTCCTATGCAAAAAAGTTAATTATTATCGCGAGTATTGCAAATATAGCTAGCGACTTATATTTTAGAAAACGACTAAGAAACCGAATTAATAACAACTGTCTCATTTGTTTGTTTTGTTTGTATAAGATGACCAAGTTCAACACAACTTATAATCTACGTTGCTACCCCGACATTGCATGGTGAACGTACGGAACTCAAAGTTAATAAGCTGATGTAAATTTGGGTAAGTAAGTAAGTAAGTAAAAGCTTTATTTAAAGAGGGTAGCACTAAATAGCCAAGGCTAATAAACTTGTGGCCCTCAGGGTACTTTAATCATGTTCTAAACCAACAAAACTGTCTGTTCAATTACCTGATTAGAAGGTATATGTTGTTGAGTTCCACATCTCGGGCTCGTAATTCCATTATTTTCCAAACTATCTCCAATCCTAATCTCGAATCCACAAAGCCGCTTCCCAATTCGGTTTCTATTTACGATTTTCACGTGAGTGACTGCAATACGTTGTTGTAAATCCACTCGCCACCAAGGTGTTGTTTGTTCAGCGGTGTGAGTACATGACCCACTGGTGTAGTAGCGGTTTTTGTTTCCATCTACAGCTCTGGAAGCAACGCCTCCGTGCGTAGTTTTTGATTGTTTTGCAGGTTTCTTAAATGCAAAGTTTTCCCCTATACAAATTGAATATTACGATATACAAATATAAAAACCGCGCATTTTGAACATTTGAAACAAAACAGGACGTCATAGACAAATTATTGTAGAATAACGGAACTTTTTTATTAACTCCTGTTATACTCCTTATTAAAATCGTGAAATGAACCGGCTAGGAATTTCAGCTGCTCATGTATAAATAACAAAGCAGCGAATGATATAAATTCCTCAAAATATAACTCTTGCATAAAAAACACACGAATACTTCCATAAGTATGTATAGTTTTATTTTTCTGTATTATAAAAATTTAATAAAATAGTGAATTAATACAATTTTAAATAGTTAAATATCGGCGTGACAAAATTTCCCGCGAGTTTCCTCTCTGTATATCTCTTCTCTGTGCCCACACCTCCTTTTCGAGTAGAAAACGCTGCACGTCTCTGAGTCGAGAAAGAGACAACAGCCGTGTACCTCAAAGCCCGTCAAACTCTACCATTAGGCAAGAGTATAATACACTGCACCTGCTTAACCACATTAAAGCGTATATGTAATGCGCATGCATGTTACACCTTATTTCGTCCCACAACTGCAACCTCTCGAGGACAATAGCAAATGGTTGTGACAGGTATATAAACAACATAAAAACATCATGATTGGTTTTTCATTGAAATTAAAGAGCTCGGCCTGCGCGCTTCGGTCAGACCTCCTAGACCTCCCATTCAGTTGTTATCCTATATAAACCTACTAGTATAGGCAATCATTTATCGTGCGTTCTGGTTGGCTACGCTACTAGTAGGCTATTAGTGACAACCTACTAGTAGCAAAATTCAAAACATTTTGAGCGAATTCGCGTTTGGCCGAAGTTTCAAATGATTTCTTGAACGACTTTCTGGATGCTTGATTTTTGTGCTGTTTTTGTGCTGCTTTTTTTCTTGCTTTTTGTGCTTAAAAAACACACACACTCAAAAAGCAATCAAATACGGAATGGCAATTTTTAAGGGTAGATAAAATAACATACACTCAATGAAATTTTAAAATTAGAACTGAATTTTAAAACATTTTACTGGAACAAAAAATTAAAATATTTAATTCGATGCCGATGAATCCGCTCATAATTCCCTCGCCGCATTGAAAACCAGTTCCAGCAAAGAGTCAACATCCTTTGTGACTGTGATGACTTTCAGTTTGAATAATGAAAACCTTCAAAACGGAACCAACATCCAGATGCGAGGACCGCAGTTGTTACAGCTTCCATGGTTGCACTGTGTCGATCGTAAACAACAATTATTATTCCTAACTTTTGGTTTAAAAACTTTGTTGTGCAAATACCAGTGTGATTTATATAAATACTTTAATATTTCCTCTGTATTATTTCCTTTGATAGACATTTTACTGACACTCGAAACGATGTGTTGAAAACTGTTGAAAGTTTTTGAAACTTGACAGTTCTAAAAATGTCGCATGTCGTAATCGCGTGACCCGGCGCGTCATTTCTGGGAGAATAAATTATTAAAATCTAATCTAATCTATTAAAATCTAATACTTTTGCGTATTTTTTTTATTTCTTTGCCTAGTTGTGAATAAATTATTGTTAAGTTTATACTAAAACATTACAAACTTGGCCTCGTTGTCTATGAGCGAATCAGTCAACTCGGCTTCGCCTCGTTGACTATTCGCAAATACACAACTCGGCCTCGTTGTTTAATTGTTAAATTGCCTGGCCCTATTGCATTTCAAGTTGTAGAATAATTGCCTCGTGTAACATGCGTTAAGGTGGCTCCTTACAGTTATAGTCCAGTTTAAAATACTTATATAGATCAGACGTCATCCTCGCGACTCGCGCGTGGAATCTTCGTGGCCTGGTAAGAATTCTTGAAACAAGCCGCGGGAAGTAATTGTTTTTGTATTTTTATCTACAATGATAACGCCAGTTTTTTATTATAATCCTAAACTTTTAAAAATTCGAACAGTACGTATGTTTTTCACTAGTTTTTAACCTACCGTTCCGTGTGTTTTTATAGATTTAATACGAGTTCAGTATTGTATTTCATAAACGCTCATAGTGTTTAACAACAGTGTCGCGAACAGAAGCGATATTTTATACTGTCTTCAAGGCACTACTGAACCGTCACTGAAACTTACGTAAGTCCTGTCAGTCAACTCATGACAGTTCACATGTAATTTTTATCTGTTGAATCCAATAAAAATATATATAGTGCAGACAGTAAAATGGCTTTTTTAAATATAGTAAGCTTGCCAAAAAGATTTGATGAAATTAACTTAACTATGTTAAACAAATTACTCGATATAATGTCATTTAGTGAGACTAGACTTAATTCGACAATAACTGATGGTATGATTCATATAGATGGGTATGACATTATAAGAAAAGATAGGTCTAGAAATGGTGGTGGTGTTTGCATTTACCTACGTAATTCTATAAACTATCAAATCAGACAAGATCTTATACCAGCCGATCTAGAAGCTATATGCATAGAGATAACTAAACCGTATAGGAGACCATTTGTGGTTGTTACGGTTTATATACCCCCAGATGCTTCATCGAATTTTTTTATCCGTCTTGAAAACCTATTAAAAAAGATTGATAATAAAAACAAGGAAATCTATATACTGGGTGATCTTAACTGCGACCTTTTTAAGTCTATTCCTGACCATCCAACTAAGACACTTAAATCTTTACTAGAAATTTATCAATTATCCCAGATAATTGATAAAGCCACACGGATCACTAGGACATCCTCCACACTTATTGATCATTTTATTACCAATGAACCAGGAAAAATATCCAAATGTGGTGTAATAAATACTGGAATTAGTGACCACAGTCTCATTTATGGCATAAGAAAGATTAACATTGACACAAAGTTAATGATAACATAATTGAAATTAGAAATATGAAAAAATTCAATGAACAGCAGTTTTTACAAGACCTAGGAACTCAAACATGGGAACATGCAGTCTATTTTTTTGCAGACATTCCTGACACTATGTGGGAAATTTGGGAACAACTTTTCTTACAAGTCCTAGATAAACATGCCCCAATTCAAAACAAAAAAACAAAATCTAAAAAAAATCCTAGGATTACTAGTCATATAAAAAACCTAATAATTGCAAGAAATAATTTGAAAAGAAAAGCAATTATCACTAAACTTGAAACAGATTGGGATAACTATAAAAAAGCCAGAAATGAAACAAACAATCTTCTAAGACAAACCAAAAAGGAATATTATTCCAATAAAATAGCGACTGAAAAGCAAGATCCAAAAGCTGCTTGGAAGACAATTAATACCTTACTTGGTAAACAAAATCAAAGAACTAAAGTAAACGAATTAAACTTAAATGGCATAAAATTAACAAGCCCTGATGAAATGTCTGAGGGCTTCAATTTGCAATTCCAGCTTTTAGTTTATGCGTGCAGGGGACGATGGGGAGTAAGGTATCACATTGCTGATTATGCTGAAAAAAATAAAAATTGTGGCCGTGTAAACACGGAGTGATAGCTTATACTTGTAAATATTGAAATATTTCGGTTGCTTCGGTAGTTTTTATTGAAATTTTTCAGCATAATCAGCAATATGATACCTTACTTCCCATCATCCCCTGCAGGCATAAACTAAAAGCTGGAATTGCCTATACCTTCTTTTCAAATATTGGACCGAATTTAGACGAAGAAATTAGTACACCAGGATGTCATTCTAAAGACTTCCTTGACAAAACTAATTCTGAATTTACTGCATTCCAGTCAGTTACTGTTAGACATGTTTGTCTTTTATTACGTGAACTGTCTGGTAGCAAAGCTACTATAATATCAAAATTGCTGCACCATTAATTTCCGATTCATTGACTTACATCTTTAATCAAGCAATATCTTTATGTACTTTTCCACATGAATGGGAAATTGCAAGAGTAATTCCCCTTTTTAAGAATGGCAAACCAAATTTGCCAGGAAATTATCGACCAATTTCTGTGTTGCCAGCCATTAGTAAAGTTATGGAACGTATCCTATATACTCAACTTTATGAATATTTGAGTGCAAATAACATACTTTCTGAACATCAATTTGGTTTCAAAAAATTTCATTCAACTGCAACAGCTTTACTTGATGGCACAAATGATTGGTACATAAACATGGATAGAAAACTTTTTAATTTGGTTGTATTTGTAGACCTAAAAAAAGCCTTTGATACTGTTGACCATGAGATCTTATTGCAAAAACTAAAACTAGTTGGAATCACAGGAAGTGCATTTCTATTACTCAAATCATACTTAACTGGTCGTACTCAAAGATGTGAAGTCAATGGATCTATTTCAGGGGAAAACGACGTCAAATGTGGTGTACCCCAGGGGTCTATATTGGGGCCACTATTCTTCTTACTCTATATTAATGATCTACCTGCATGTCTGAGTAAAACAAAACTTGCTGATGATACAAATATCACAGCAGCTGGAGAATGCTTAAATAATCTTGAAGATGCAGTAAACTCAGATTTAGAAATGCTTCGTAAATGGCTCATGGCAAACAAACTGAGCTTGAATGTGGCGAAAACTGAATTTCAAATTATTGGTACTAAACAGATGCTGAAGAAAGCTTCTGTTCAGCAACTTAAAATTCACATTCAAAACATACCCATAAAGTAGGTTTTTCAATGTAAAACACTAGGTGTGACTGTTGATGAAAATTTGAGTTGGAAGAGCAATACAGATAATATATGTAAAAATATATCTTCTGGAATATACGCTCTTAAAAGCATTAAAGAATATGTTGATCAAAAAACACTCGTATCCGTACACAATGCTATAATTCAACCATACTTTAGCTACTATTGTGAAGTTTGGAATATATTTGGTGAAACGCAATCCACGCGTCTCCAAAAACTTCATAACAGAGCTGCTCGTGTAATAGCATGTGTGCCTAATGAGGTAGATCAACAAACTGTACTAATATATTAGGATGGGAACCACTCAAGGAACAAAGAATGACAGCAAAGGCAAAAATAATGTTTAAAACGCTAAATAACATGAGGCCAAATTGTCTCAAAGAATTATTTACTTTCAAAAAAGAAATATTAAACCGCAGTCTTCGTAACAGCTCAAGTACCATACGTTTGCCCAAGCCAAACACAAACAATATGAAAAAGAGTTTCATGTAGATGGAGCTTCCATATGGAACTCTCTTCCAAAAAATATAAGAGAAAGTAATTCGCTCTCAAGTTTTAAAAGAAAAATCGCTACCTATAGCTTATAAAAAGAACCACATCATTGTAAATAGCAAACTTTTTGTATATATTTTAATAATTTTATATTCTGCATGTTAACACTTCCTTATTATTTTACTTGTAACAATTTGTTAATGTTTTTTACACGCCCATTGTGGAAACCAGCTTCTGCTGACAATGTTAGCGTGGTTAAATAAAGTTTATCATCATCATCATCATCATCATCATCACAGTTACGAGTTGTTTTATACGAACAGTCAAACTCTACTTGATTAACTTGAAATGTTTTGAAAAATTTTCACACCGATTTTCACAACAAAACTAAATTTAATTAAGTCAATGCGTTATTGTGTTCTTAATTTTTCGTGTTTTGAACACTGTATATCTTTTATTTTCATTTCAAATAAACAAAAAATAGCTGTGTGATGCATATAATTACCAAAGAATCGAAGTGAAAATTACTAAAAAAGCGAACAATAAACCGTACGCGTTTCGTGTTCCCCATGCATTATAATTTACTCGCATGCGCAAATAGCGATCTTGTCGAATCGATATTTTGTCACGTCAACAGCTGCAACAGGCTTTTAGGACTATTTTTCTCGCGTTTCCTTTGGTGAATTTTTTAAAATTTTGCACATTTGCTAGGCGTAACAATTAGTCAAACATAACAAAATTTCAAGAAATTCTACATGACAGATTTTTTGTAGTTGTTATTCATAAGTAGAGAGCCACCTTAAGCTTAAGAATTATCAACATAAGTCAATAACTCTTATCCATAGAAATAATAGACATCTATTATCTCTATGCTCGTATCCTAATGCTTAGTTCAGGGACCGCGGAACAAGGGGGGGGGAAGGGGAATGCCCTCAACTTTTTCGAGGGATAATAAAAAATTACCGGATATAATCAAGCCTGCCCGCGTGGAATAACTCCCGTGCTATCCTGACCCCCCCCCCCCTCTCTCCCCCACACACACTTTTAAACAGGCCCCGCTGTCCCTGTAGTTACTTTGGTTTATTCTATGCTTCCGTAAACTATAACAATAGTAACGAAGCATGTGAGTTATCTGAAGTTGTGAATTGGGTAGCTATTGGTTCTGCAATGCTACTAAAAATCTATGACTTCCTTAGAGCCGATAAATTACTTTAAATCAATCACCAAGAAGGAGCTTATATATTTCAAAGAAATTCCTATCGATTTATGTTCATTTTTCTCACAACATATCAACGTTACAGGTAAACTACGTGAAGCGTTCCTCGTTTGAGTTCCTAAATTGATTGCAATTTTTCTCATTACATTTGCAATTCAAAAAACTCCCTTGCAGATCCCTTGAGGGAATTTGCAATTTTCTTAAAACTGATTTAAACTTTCCTCTGTCAGTTCCTGTTAGAACTGCTTAACTTCCTGTTGCAAGTTCCTAACTTCTTGTACTGTTTTGCGCGTTGCAAGTGCCTAACAAATATAATCCACCAACGACAACGCTCAGAACAGTCAGAACAGAACAGAACAGAACAGGAAATCAGGACATTAAAACAGGAGGTTAGGAAAATTTAAAATGAGGTTTCTTAATTTGCATTGGATTATTGCAACATTGCAAATTCTCTCAAGGGATTTGCAAAGAGTTTTTTAACTTAAATTTGCAAAGCTAATAATGAAAATTCCAAATGAGTTAGGAAGTCAAAAGAGGAGGTATCTTGGATCCCCTATCTATTGCATGGGCAATGGCCTGTTGGAAAATCCGCTCACCAATGATTGAGAAACGCAATAAACTTTAACAGAGCTGCCACGTTCAGATGATTAACAATCTGGAGGTTATTTTTTACTTTGATCTTCACTTTGATCTCCGCGCACACTGGTTCACACTCAATAACATTCAGGGGACTGTATTCTATCGATTTATTTCCTTGGAAATATTTTCTATTTAGAACGCGATTTTAGACTTCCTCGTCTCGCTACGATCTGATCACAACTGAAATTACATATTAGCCTTAATGAATAATGGTATCAAATTACAATGAATCACTATGACGTCTTTTAAGCAATACTATATACATATATTTACACTAAGTAACTGAAACAACTGCTGTGCGGAAACCTGGCGGCACTGCCCTGGGAACTCACAACAGTTTTCCAAGCATCGGGACTATAATCGATAATCAGTCATACTTCCTTATCTGTCATTTGAGACATTTAACAGAAATACATGCAGCCAAGTATACTTTGTTGTTGCATACATAATGGAGTAATGTACGGTTAAATTTTCCACTGATTGTACACATTTTTGAGAAACATTTGAAAAAGCAAATTCAAGATCAGAGGAAAATTAGACACTTTTTCTTACTGGTGGGATTTCTCAACATACCTTCTTTAATACCATAGACTTCGACTTCGCACAACGTTAGCATTTTCTTTTCTCCTGGAATAACAATCGTCACATAACGACCAATCAACGTGGGATCACACCAGACTGTACCCCACTATGTAAAAAAAAACTATTATCGCGAGTATTTTAAATATAGCGACTTACGTTTTTGAAAACGAAGAGGAAAACGAATTAATTAATATGGTGCCATGTAGCACTCTAGATTCAAACCTTTACAGAGATTTGTACCAAAACAAACAACTGTCTCATTTGTTTGTTTTGTTTGTATAAGATGACCAAGTTCAACACATCTTATAATCTACGTTGCTACCACGACATTGCAGGGTGAACGTACATCACTCAAAGTGAAGCTGATGTAACTTGGGACTTTAGTCATGTTTTAAACAAACAAAACTATCTGTTCAATTACAGGTTATGTTAAATTGCGGAAGCGGATGCGGAACGGATGCGGAACGGAACGGATGCGGAACGGAACGGATGTGGTTAAAATGCGGAACGGAACGGATATGGCGTTAAAATGCGAACGGAACGGATGGGGATAAAATGCGGAACGGAACGGATATGGGGTTAAAATGCGGAACGGATATGGGGTTGAAACGCGGAACGGATATGGGGTTAAAATGCGGAACGAAACAAATATGGGATTTAAATTAAGTTTTAACCCCATCTCCGTTCCGCATCCGCTTCCGCATTTTAACCTAACTCGTCCATTACCCGATTAGAAGGTATATGTTGTCGTGTTCCACATCTCAGGCTCGTAATTCCATTATTTTCCAAACTATCTCCAATCCTTATCTCGAAACCAGAAAGTCGGTCGCCAAGTATCTGTCTGTTTGCGATTTTCACTTGTGTGACTGTAATTCGCTGTTGTAAATCCACTCGCCACCAAGGTGCTGTTTGTTCAGCTGTGTGGGTACACGACCGATCGTTGTAGATGCGGCTTTTCTTTCCATCAACAGCTCTGGAAGCAATGCCTTCGTATGCGGTTGTTGATTGTTGTGCAGGTTTCTTAACTGCAAAGTTTTCCCCTATATACAAATTGAATATTACCATATACAAATATAAAAACCGCGTGTTTTGAACATTTGAAACAAAACAAGTCATAGACAAATTTGGCTAACATTTGTTTATACCCAATGCTTATTGCTCTAGTTTACAGAAGGATATCATATTGTTCTAGTTTACAGAAGGATAGATCAGAACAAAGGTAACAAAAGGCCATATTAAAGGCGTATTTCCAGTCCTCGCCGCACGAAGCTTGCTCCTCGCAGCTCGCTGAGAGAACTTGCAGACGTTGTGCGAGTGTTTTGCCGCTGGAAGAAAATAGTTCAAAATTTTGAACTATTTTTAATTTTACCCGCTGCGAGAGGTCGCAATAATGAACCAATCATATAACAGTTTACAATCCCATGATAATTTGTTTTCAAAATGGCGGCTAGATGGAGTGATGAAAATATAGAAATTTTAGTAGTTTTCAGTATTTGACTTATGAATTAGTGGCTTTACCACATTGTGTAAATAATCAAATTGATTTGGTAACATTCTGAAATAATTGAAGTAGTCTTTGTGGTCTTCTTCCCGTAATTCTTTAATTAAATAGTGTAAAAATTAAAATTCAGTTTATTGTGATCACGTATGGAATATTGGTCTTACCCAAAACGGTTTTAAGTATTTGGTACGTCGTTTTTGTCGACTACGAAATAATAACGTACAAAATGAACTCTTCTCGTCACTACCTAACCTGCGAACGGGCATACCATGAGTTACGAGATTGGCGTGTGGTGGAAACGGAATGACATTCGTGCGAGTACTCGCACGAGCTGCGAGGAACTTCGTGCGAGGACTGGAAATCCGCCTTTTACACAAGGAAACTTTTGCTGCAACTTGCAATGCAATTTCTGACATGCGTAGAACGATATTATTTAAAAAGTAGTTGCAGGGAAATTTTTAGTATGATATGTTAGCAAATAAAAAGTGTCGGCCAAATAGAATGCGGGACCATACTCACACTTCTCTGCGGCTATTCGTATTTAGTATAAACCTACTAGTAGGCTATCACTGGTCACATGGGACAAGAAAAGACTTTTGAAAGAATATCTATGCACTTCTTTTGGCCCCGGTTGTATAGTGAAGTTAAAAATTATTGTGCAACTTGTCCTCAGTGTCAACTGGTTGAACGTAAATTGCTAAATAATAGGGCCCCACTTAATCCCGTAAAAATAGTTACGGAACCTTTTAAGAAAGTGGCTATCGATTTAATAGGGGAGTTGCCACGAAGTAAAAACGGGTATAAATATATTTTGACATTAGTCGACTATGCAACTCGATATTCCGAAGCCATACGACTTAAAATGACACAGTCAAGGGTGGTCGCCGAAGCTTTGGTGAATATATTTTCCCCGATAGGGTTACCACAAGACATTGTTTCTGACCAAGGGGCAAATCTGGTGAGGAATTTAATGAAACAGTTGTATGAACTGTTGGGAATTAGGCATTTAAAAACCTCAGTTTATCATCCGGAGGCCAATGGGTTAGTGGAACGGTTTATTGGAACTCTAAAGCACATTCTTAAGAAATTTGTGGGTAGGGAGATTGAATCCTGGGATAAGTATCTGCCTTTTGTATTATTTGCGTACTGGGAAGTGCCGTGCCAGTCAACAGGATATTCCCCTTTTGAATTATTATTTGGAAGAACCGTACGAGGACCTTTGACTGCTGTCAAACACGCTTGGGTTTCTTCGAAAATATCGAACGACTACCTAGATTATGTATTAGAAACCTGCAAAAGATTAACACAAATGCAAGAAACTGTTCATAAAAATTTGAAAGGAACACAGGAAAAAAAAGAAATTATATGATCGGCAGAGTTCCCGAAGGCTTCTTGGGGTGGGAGATAAGATGTTAGTGTTGCTCCCTACGCCCGGAAGTAAATTAGAGATGAAATGGCAAGGACCCTTTATTGTAAGTAAAGTGTTTGAGAATGGATTAAATTATGAAGTTGATAGGGGAAAGGGGGACAAACAAAAACGTGTATATCATATTAATTTATTGAAACTGTGGAAGACCTGGGAGGAGTTAGCAACATTTTCGTGTCCTTGCACTATATGTCCTGAGAAACAGGAGGGTTGTAACCCTTGGGGAAATCAAGAAGAGACTTGGCGTGATGTGGAAATTTCCCCTGAGTTAAGCAATGAACAATTGAGTGCTATGCAACTTTTGTTACAAGAATACTCGAATATATTTTCTAACATTCCAAGTAGGACATCTGTGACCGAACACAAAATTGATACAGGTGAAGCAACCCCTATTAGGTCACCTCCTTACCGAATACCGCAGAGTTTAATAGAAAGGGTAAATGATGAATTGCACCAAATATTAGAAATGGGCATAGCTAGACCATCGAAAAGTCCATGGGCCTTCCCTGTGGGTATAATGCTTAAACCGGATGGCACAATTAGGTTTTGTGTTGATTTTAGAAAATTGAATAATGTTACCAAAATGGATGCATATCCCATCCCTCGTATGGATCAAATGTTGGAATAGGTAGCCCAAGCTAGGTATATGTCGACTCTGGATTTGACCAAGGGGTATTGGCAAATCCCATTAAATGAGGATTCTATACCGAAATTTGCTGTTATAACTTCTCAAGGGTTATTTGAATTTACACTCATGCCCGGCCCTTTGGCATGAAAACTGCGCCGGCGACGTTTCAACGCATGATGAAACATGAGGTGTTAAATGGGTCGGAGGCTTTTGCGGATGCAAATATTGACGATGTGGAAATTGACACATCCACCACCTTTGAACAGCATTTAACAGATCTGCGGCGAGTTTTTGATAGATTACGTGAAGCGAAGTTACGCGCAAAGCCGTCAAAATGCAGAATTGCTATGCCTATGGTAGATTTTATTGGCCATAGGGTAGGGGGTGGTATAATCGCCCTAGAGATGCGCTAATTGAAACGATATTACAGTTTCCGAGGCCGTAAACGAAAAAACAAATTCGTTCATTTCTTGGTGTGGCCGGATACTATCGTCGCTTTAATGAAAATTTTGCGGACATTGCCACACCGCTTATTAATTTAACCAGAAAAATCGAACCTACCAAAGTGGTATGGACTAGGCAAGCAGAAGATGTTTTTTCTAAATTAATGCAAAAACTGACATCCCTCCGGTTTAGCGGCCTCCTTGCTGGGACCGTGTGTTTATCCTTAAAACGGATCATAACCCTTTAGTTTGGCTAAACCAAGTAAAGGATAAAAATCGTAAGTTGCTGCGGTGGAATTTGACTCTTCAAGAGTATGAGATAGAGTATGAGCATGAGGCGGGGGAAAAGAATGTGGACGCAGATGCGTTAAGTAGAATTGAGTAAAGTCCCGTGGGAGTGTAGGAACCTTCCCTGCCGATGGGTATTTTTCGTTTGGCTGCTCCTTCCCGACAGGTTTGGGAGTTGTTGCTGGTGTATGTGTACACGTCAGATTTTTTAACAGCATTGGATCAATTACAGTTGTAATATGATCTTTGGTGGGAACGTGTGATAAAAGAATAGCTGTATTATAATTATATGTTATGAATATGTAAATTAATGGATTATATAAGGAGCCCAGAGTTTGAAGCGAGCAGAGGAAAAACAGGACAAGCAAGGAAGGAGTTCATAAACATTTAAAAACCGACGAAGACCTTCAGGAGAAGGACAACTTGGAAGGACATCTTGCTTTTGTTGGAAGAACACTGAACTTCGCTGACTATATACGCCCAAGTTCATTTGAGATCGACAGAAAACCACCTCGAAGCGATTTAAGAATGTTCAGGTTGTCAGCAAGTTTCGTCACGCATTTGTTCATAAGACATAGCCGCTAAAATTCTAAACAAACAAGATACGACGCTGTTATAAGTTTGAGATTACGCGGAAAGGTAAGCGCTGTAGGCTAGCTGAAGAAAGAAGACGTACTTACTTTCTGTTGGACTCGGGTTTGTTAAAAAAAATACTTTAGGAAATTAGATAACTCTTAGTAATTACAGAATTAAAACTTTTATGTTAATTGTAGTACAGTGAGTTTTATTGACTTGGGTAATTGTGAACTGCAGCGCCCACGTCGGCGATAGAAATCTTCACAGCGACCTCGTTCCCAGGGTCTCACCTGCCTCCCAGAATCTGGGAGGTAAATTAAGATTATGCTATGGGTAGGGTGGGAAAGAAGCGTGTTTTTTTTTTTGGGGGGGGGGGTTAAAATTGCAACTTTGGGTGATGTAATTTACTGTAAATTTGCAACAAGAAATCGTGAAGAGAACTCATAAATTCATATTTATATCGTGACTTTCTACTCTAAAATCTGGTGTTGAGTTACAATTCAAGCAAGTTGGATCAGATTTCAATATTCAACTTGTAGACTTGCCGAAAGAAACTGTACGCTTACCGCTTGGGCAGCATGGCAATGTCAAACCTACAAGAAAATATATATATATATATATATATATATATATATATATATATATATATCTAGACCGTAGAATGTGGTTGTTATTTATTTAGTATTAAAATCTATCCTTACACTCGGACCAAAAGAATGTATTTATTGATGAGATGTGGAATGTAATTGCAACGAAATAGCGAGATCTTTTGATTTCCGAAATATGCCAACTGCATGATCCAGATTGTTGATTTATATAAACGCCTTATTAAAAACTTAAAGCCCGTCAAAAGTCTATAAAATTGGTGCTTGGCATTGCTGAAACCCAACGATCATGGTATACAGCTTTTTGAATTAAGGTTGTCCACGAGCAAAGCGGAAAAGTCCAATACGAGCGCGAAAGGCTGCTGTGAGTCGCCAACAAATTAATGAATTTTCAAAGCGATTCCCAGCAGCCTTTCGCGCTCGTATTCGACTTTTCCGCTTTGCTCGTGGACAACCTTAATTGAAATAGCTGCATGTAATCTGCAATCGCGCACACAGTGTTAAAATTTACCTGACAATCTCAGGATCTCCACACATGAATAATTAACAAAGATGTATATATCCTTCCCTCCACATGGGGGAGGCGATATAGTATCGCTTGAACGTAACCATTCTGATACCGATCTTCCCTCTACCTTTTCAGCAACTTCACAGAATCCATTGGGAGCGGTACAGTTAGTTGTAGGCTGCGTATTACATTCATCGCGTCCAACCACGTGACCATATATGACGTCATGTACGCGGATATTTTTAGATGGAGTGCATCTAACTTGTTTCCAGGCCGAACAAATAATTTCTAAAATAAGAAAATAGTTAAATAAGAATTATTACACATTGTAGTTGGTAAAAGAAATTTGATTGGCTAAGAGCTTACAGTTAAATCGCGCAATCACGCAACCTACAGAAAATTCATGCGCGTTAGGAACCTTGTCGTCAGCGTGAGGAACCTTGTCCTCAGCGTGAGGAGCCTTCTCCTCAGCGTGAGGAACTTTGTCCTCGGCGTGAGGAACCTTGTCCTCAGCGTGAGGAACCTTGTCCTCAGTTGGGAGAACCTTGTCCTCGGTGTGCGGAACCTTGTCCTCAGCGTGAGAAACCTTGTCCTCAGTGTGGAGAACCTTGTCCTCAGGGTAAGGAACCTTGTCTTCAGCGTGGGGAACCTTGTTCTCATCGTGGGGAACCTTGTCCTCAGCATGGGGAACCTTGTCGTCAGCGCGAGGAACCTTGTTCTCAGCACGAGGAACCTAGCTTGTCCTCAGCGTGAGGAACCTTGTCCTCTGCGTGAGGAACATTGTCGTCGGCGTGAGGAACCTTGTCCTCGTCGTGAGGAACCTTGTCCTCAGCGTGAGAAAACTTGTCCTCAGCGTGAGGAATCTTGTCCGCAGAGTGAGGAACCTTGTCCTCAGAGTGAGGATCGGACCTCGCGAAAGGCCTCCGAAGTTTTTACTCTTGTGCAATCGAGTGAGATCATATAAATTTGATTATCGCGTATCATGTTTATTATGACTATTATAAAATAGATCTAGTAAATAAACAAAGCAAAATCACAGTTCACGAAACAGACATCCTTAATTCTCCTTTCACGGAGAATTTTTATCAAGAATAATTTAACGCCTCACGGCTGTAGAACAAATCACATTTCACGACACTAAAATCAAGCATTTCACATTTCACATTTCACGCGAACAACTATTGACCATTCACGGCTTACGAAAATACCCTTTCCCACCCTCTATAGACATGTGTTGCAATTTTGCCCTTTGGGAACTGTGTTTACTTTCATGCAAATTTATGTATGATATGGCACGAGACTGTCGATCGAGTCGTCAAATTCCATTGAAAATGAACAACATTTTCGTGTACAAACAAGGTCGACTTCCAAAGTTATATCAGTTAACATTCTGCGGATATTCTGAGTTTTAGTTTACTAGGTAAAGAATGGCATGCATCAAGCGTGCCAGTTTTTCAGTAGCCTGCGTGGCAGGCTCAAGGAACAAAGAGAGCCTTGCAACAATCTCAAGGAAATTTGGTATTTCGCGCCGTGAGCGGAATCAAAAATCCTGTTGTTGAAATCATAATGTACTCCAAAATACGCATCAATCATTGTGGCGCAATGTTTATACGCTATCAATAAAAACGTATATTAGCGTAAAATTTTGAAAGAGTGCTGTGAATTTGGGTTTTAAACTAAAAACTGAACAGCTGGAAATCGTTGATATGTTTTGGCAGGTTTTCTCATTGGATATCTGCCTTGACAAGTCCAAGAGCATGGATACAAACCCACGCGCACGTGTTGATATTTCTCTAAATAATCGCAAGTGATGAACCAGGCGGGAATCGTAATCGTAATCGTAGTATAAAGATTAATGCCCAGCCGCATAATTAATTAACGTACACAAAAGAGCCATATATAGACAATAATATAGACATAAATATATAAAGTAATACTATAGATTATCATAAAGTAATCAGTAGTACCAATTAATAATGTATCATACATTCGTATTTTATAAAGTATGATGACTATGAGAGTTTTCGTCTTCACTATGGCTGAATACATTTATGAAAAGCTAAAACTGGTACAGACAAAATACATTGTAAACACAGCCTATTTAGGCAGGCGCTAAACCGGTGTAAACTATTATGCAAAGATGAACAATGCCGTCATTAGTATTTTTGCGCAAGTGAATAAATATATAACAAATCCTACAAGTTGTCAAGTTGATTGATCAAATTTGACAAATTCCCCGATAATCACGGCCTCGCCTTTGGCGAATAATTGTTCAAAGCCAAAGGCGCAAAAATAATCGCGTGTAGTTTATACTTATATGTGATAGTTTCTCAATATTTTGTATTTGCCAAGATACTTTTGTCACAATTGTTTCTATAAATCTATTATCTATACGATAAAGAAGAAGTTCTGCAGTATAAAATGTACTATACATACTATAAATACAAATATTATAATAAAATTTGAATATTAAATTGAAATATTACTGGGATGATCCTGTTATCCCACAGGCTATATTTATGAAATTGCACTGGTATACCTATATAACTGATAGTATTTTTTACCTTGAATATTATGTCATGCACAAATTTTCGTTCTCTGTTTAGATTTTTATTAATATAATTATAAGAAAATCTTAAAATAATATAATTTCAAAATCGAAAGTCCAAAGTCCATAGTCCAAAGTGCAAAGTCCAAAGTCCATAGTCCAAATTCCAGTCCAGTGTTCACAATATGCCTACTGTTCAGCCGTGAGCCGTTGCAATTTGAAACATATATTCGCTCATAGCCTGGTCATAATATGCATATGTATGATTTGAAATTTATTGTAATGTTTGGACCTAAGATGGTATTGTCTTCCTTTTGATATAAATATATTTTTGAGTTCCGTTCATTATTAATACGTAAAAATAGTCTGTTGAGTAACCGCATCTAAACTGCAGTATCAAGTCAAAATGTTTTGTTTTAGTGAATTGTATCACATACTAATGTATCGAAATGTACCAAACAGGCATCGCCGATGTAAATTCTGTTTTATTTACTCCAAAAGTAATTTAAACTGCCAATTTTTTAAAAGTGTTTGAATTCTCGAGCCACTCTATATGAACTACAATAGTAATACATTAAAGTATATTTATAGTTATTAGTCACACTGCATCACGCACACGGATTTCAGAAAAAAGGATTGGTTGGATTGGAAATAAATTATCATGATACTAATTAGTGGGCGGTTATCAAATTTCCTTGAGACTGTTGTTGTCGAATAAGAGCTTGCTATTAGGCCTATACGGCTGAGAATGGATTGAGTGCTATCAGCCAATAGGGAACTGCAGTTCAGACGTTCGTTTACGTGCTTCGGTGCATATTAACTAATGTGACATATATTATCTCTAGGAAAATACTATTTACAGGATAAAAAGTTTAACTATAATGACTACCAGCATTCCCGGCTTAAAGTTGTTTAATTAAATCTTTCCTCAAAAAACGAAAAAATAAATTTCGATGTGTCGCTATCAGTTGACTTCATTATGTCAACTGATAAAGTTGATTTGTTTACGTTTGTCTCAGTAGTAGTGAGATCGTTTTTGAGACTGTTTATAAAGTTTACTCGAATGTCACCGCAAGCCTCGCAAGAGAGGAGGAAGTGAGATTCGTTTTCGATTTCTCCCGTGTGACATAGGTTACATGCACAGTCGTTCTTCTCTGGCTATATTATGGTAGCTACCAGTTTCAGTCTGAAGGCTATATGGTTACTTAATCTGAATCGTGTTATGGTTTTATTTTTGTTTGAGTCTTTTATTATAGATAAGTATTTTTCTAGTTCGTAATCTATCTTGATGGTTATAGGCGACATAAATTCAAAAAACCGATGTAGCAATTAATACAAAGCAACGCCATTCTGCCTAGATTAGACATGCCTCAGTACCGCACCACTACAAACCACTGATTAACAAGGATGTCTTGACAAACAGTGCAAGTGGGCGGCATAGGGTGGGTCCCCATAACTCCGCAATGTAACAAGTTTAGAGTATAACATGCATGGAAGGAGAAGGGGAAACTACATGCCGCTATGAAAATAACCGAGTTGAGGCTGAGAATGTTGTCTTGGAATTGCTCTGGTCCAGCTGCCTGGTCTTGTTGTGCTGCTTGCGGACGAGGTCAGCCTCGTTAAATCAGCGATGTTGATCGGTTAAGGCCGTTTTCCACTAGGCGGAATTTTCCGCGAGGAGCGGAATTTTTCTTTGTCTTGTGATTTCTTGGGTGGAACTTACTAGAAAAGACAAAGAGAAATTCCGCTCCGCGCGCAAAATTCCGCCTAGTGGAAAACAGTCTTTATAGGGATCGATAGCGTCAGCCATAGGGAAGTTGTATACTCGGCTGCGACACGGATAGTAAGCCAAGCCCAAAATTTCCGAATCCAAGCGTCTGTGTCTTCATGGCAAATGGCGAAAAAGCTCTATTTCTCCTGGTGTTTATCTGTTTTTCCTCGTTCCCATGGGTCTTTGTTCATATTACCATTAATATTTTTGTTCAAGGTAATGATTTCTTAGTTCAACGATCCCGTTTTTTGGCATTGTTTGGCGAAAACTCCCATTCATGCAGTATAGTTCAATAAATAGCGTTGCAAAGCTTGTACATTTGGGAGTAGATAAAAGGCGGCCGCGGCTGGAACGACCGTGGAAGACGGAGCATTTGACCGCAACCCCAGCTAGCACAATTACGTTGTGCCAACGTTGTACGAACGTTCGCCGAACGTGGAGATAACGTTGGTATTATAAGTTGTAGTAACGTTATTTTGTGAACTCGCAGGAACGTGGTGACAACGTCAGGATTAACGTTAGAACACGACGTTTGCTCAACGTTCTTACAACGTTACGAACGTTCGCCGAACGTGGAGATAACGTTGGTATTATAAGTTGTAGTAACGTTATTTTGTGAACTCGCAGGAACGTGGTGACAACGTCGGGGGATTAACGTTAGAACACGACGTTTGCTCAACGTTCTTACAACGTTTGATTAACGTTAGAAAACGTTGAAAATTAACGTTGTAGTAACGTTATTTTGTGAACTCACAGGAACGCTGTAACAACGTTAGGATCAACGTTAGAACAACTGACTAAAGTCTTTGATTTAATCATTTTATTTAAGGAAAGAGCTTCATTTACAAATAATATAGGCTAAAATTACTGATCCAATTTATAGTTTGGATGAATATTGACAATAATAATTAATTCAGTATATGAACAAGCTGTCGTTGGTAGGGATGTAACTACCTGAACAATCTTGTGCGACAGAACTTTTTCTAGGCCGCATTTTATTACCTTAATAAACGTACGTGATACTGACTTACTGTGCTTGAATAACAGTCTGCAGTTTAAATTACAGAATTACCTGAACAATATAAGGAAAATTTCGAAACGTCACAATTCTTCTAGTTCTCGTTATATGTAGTTTCAGGTAGTTGCATCCCCACCTACACTGGCACAGGCAGTTCAATATTTAATATATACAGTATACTAATTAGTCATTCTTGGATTTCATTGACAAATGAACGAGTACTCCTGAAATATATCTTCGATTCAAGAAAGGCGCTGTAAAATGTAAATTAATATGGCGTCAAACAAACATGCAGACACATATCAAAATAAATATACTTTGTTCGCCTTTTTCCGTACATGAGATAGACACATGGAAGTTTCAAATGTTACAGATACAATATATATACTTACATCGAAAACAAAACAGACGAGCGAGTTCTTCTGCAATATACAGCAGCTTCGATGAGATTACAGAGTCAACATACATTTCAGTTGCGTCGCAAGCCAAGAACAATGGTGTTATCTTTTCAATTTGCCCGCGGCGCAAACACTTTACGTATATATGGTCAGAA